ATATATATATATATATATATATATATATATATATATATATATATTTATACAGGGTGTTCCCAAAAGGTGATATCAAATTTTAGAGGTATGTAGTACTCGTTAAAACAAACCAAAAAGTTTTAATGAACAGTACTCCGAAAATCTTTTATTTCTAAGTTATGAAGCATTTTATGAAAAATACAAAATAAATTAAATCTACAATAAATGTTCAATATGCCTTCGGCTCATGTCAATACACATTTCAGCATGTTTCGTCATTGAAGGTCAAAAAGTCCAGATTTATTTCGTATTTGTTGACAACAGTTTCCAAGTCTCTTAGTCAGTTCATTCACGGACGCCCGTATATGACCACCTAATTACGCAGGGATTGTTGTATTCAACTTTGGACCGTGTCTAGTTTTGTGTTATCTGAAAAATGGCTAATTTTTACACAAATTCTGAAATGACGGATATTCATTTTATGTATGGCAGAGCAAAAGGCAATGCTTCAGCACGCTTGTATTTGAATGTGTTCGATCTTCAATGAGGAGACGTGCCGAATTGTGTGTTGAAATGGACGGAAGGCACATTGAACATTTATTGTAAATTTTAGTTATTTTTTATTTTTTACAGAACAAAATGCTTCATAACTTAGAAATAAAAGATTTTCGGAGTACTGTTCATTAAAAATTTTTGGTTTGTTTTAACGAGTATTACATACCCCTAAAATTTGATATCACCTTTTGGGAACACCCTATATATATATATATATATATATATATATATAAATAATTTTTTTACATAAAATTTTATTCTATCTAGAAATAAAAATAAAAATAAAAGTTTCATCTTAAATTAAGGATAAAATTAGAGATAAATTTAAAAATGGAATTTTATCTAATAATTTTATTTTAGATATAACCTTAAAACTGAATTCAAATCTTGATATTGCTAATATTTCATCGAAAACGAAATGTTTTTTCTTAGTTACTTTTCCGTATCTAAACCGATAACTTCTTACGTGATCAAACCGAATAAAAAGAAGCCAACAAATCTCTGGCAGCAATCAAGTCAGTTCGGCAATCATAGATGAGGACCCACGTGGCACAAGAGTTCTCGACGAAATCGCATCGAGCCGAGATCGCGGTCTCAAGCGGTTACAAATGAATCCAAGTGCGTGTTGAAGTTTCTGACGGCCGCTTTTGTCCTCCAGGAGTGCGGTGTGTGCCAATCGGCCCTTAAGTATGGCAGTCTCGCTGTGTCAGCCAGCAAACTAGGCCTACTCTATCATCCGGCGTGCTTCGGATGCGCGGATTGCAAGGAACTCCTGGTTGATCTCGCTTATTGCGTGCACGACGACACGCTTTTCTGCGAGAGGCATTACGCGGAACAGCTGAAGCCAAGATGCGCCGCGTGCGACGAGGTGAGTATGCCGACCTATTTTCCATTGTGCGCCAAACAACACAGTTGACAGCTACGTTCGCTACGTGACTCGTCATTGTGCGAGCACGGACTCGCGCGCAGAGAGCACGTGGTACTTCGACTAATTGGCGGAGAAATTGTATTAATGACAGTTTGTACATATGCATAGCATCCCATTATCGTGAAAGGGCATTCTAATGAGAAGAATGCCACGTGGATGCGGTGGAACCTTACGAATTGTGGCTCAGTAATTTCTCTTATGCTGAGAGAAAAAATATCTGGAAAATATAAAATATTTATTCGATGAATACTAATAACATATTTATTTATATTTATGTTCTTTCGTTTAAATATATGATAACAATGCTTTTATGAAAAGCGATGATTTTACTGAAGTATATTGAGTTGTGATCCATAAGTTTACGTGAATTTTTAAACATAATTGAAATACACTTTATTCTAGTTAAAAATAAATAATTTTTACTTAGTTTTAATTAGTTAAACCTAAATTATTTTTAATATATATTATATATATATATATATATATATATATATATATATATATATATATATATATATATATATAAAATTGATATATTATATCAATAATATATTATAATAATATATATTACTATATATCAATAATATATAATATAATAATATATATGTTTATAATATATTCTGGTTTATAATATATATGTTTATAATATATATGTTTATAATATATATGTTTATAATATATTCTGGTCGACATAATCTCTTATGTTACATTTCACGTAATTTCGTAATTCTCCTTTCGCAAAACTTTTGCTCTTCTGACGAAGAAACGTTCCAAATGATTTTTTTACATTTTCTAAAGAAGTGAAATTTATACGAAGTTTATACGTCAATCAATGTATATTCTGTAATGAGTAAAACAGATGACAATCGGAGATAATTGGATAATCGGCAATACCAAGCAAATATAGATAAAACAAAACATCTCAAATTCTAACAAGTTTTACAGAAGTAAATAAATATGATGCACCAGAAAATTTCATTATTTTCTTCCATTTTTAAGCCGCAATGAAGACAATTTCTTTAAACACTATCTGTTGCCATAAACTATACTTTGAAGTTCAGTCAAAACATATATATAATAGATGACTAACTCTGTATGGAATTATCCTTCTAATATCAACATGCGAATGCCAACTAGACAAAAATACACACGAATTTATTGATCAACTCGATGTATTTTTTCATTTGAAAAAATGTTTTCTCATTGTAAAAATATGTACATTAATACAAGTAAATATGTTATATGTACTTATCAAATAAATATTTTTTGTTTTTAAATAGTTTTTTTTTCAATAACTTCTTATTGAAAGATTCAATATAGTGAAAATTAAAAAATTATGTAAGATGTGAAAAACTAGTCGAAACTTGTTGATCTCTTTAGAAACACTAACAAACATATACACGTTTAAATACATTCAGTTGTTTTTTTTTTTAATTCGAACATTATGTCGAATATTACTGTGAATAAATATTCGTCACAAAATTTCACAAAAAAGGAGGAATCTCATTTTACAGATATTATATTTAATAGTCAACAGATATCTCATATTTATGTTGGTTTACAATTAAGTAATTTCTTCCTGATTTAAATAAATTCATCGCTGAAGAGATTAACGAATGTATAGAATGCAAACATCTGTCACTGAAAATATTACAAAAAAATGTTTAATACTAAAATAGAACAAGGAAATATTCCAAGAGAAGTTTACGTAATGTACGGATGTAACGGACGTAACGAATGTACGGTTTTATAAAGTCGCATCTACATATACTATAAGAAAATACAGTCGAAACAACTCGAATCCGGTGAAACAAATTTAATTTCGGAGTTGCATATGGCGAACATGCTGTTTTAATTTTTCCAAAAAACTTTGTTATTCTTGTAATCTCTCATTTATGTGAAACACATTCAAGTTTAATTCTATGAGGCGATCATAAAACTGATCCAACACATTATTGGTCGTATATTTGCCGTCTATTTTACTTACTCTATGAGAGAGATACAGTCACTTCGTATACGATGTAATAAAACGTCTAGTGAGATGATGTAGGATACCTTCACGAGAGATACGACCGTATGACGTCACGGCAATACCTTAAATGGCCGGGACGACTTCCTTCGACATCATGGGAAAAAAATCTATTCAGTCTTTTGATAATTGAGAGAACATCCATGTCATATCTAAAGTTATATTTTAATTTCGTTAATCTCTCTCTCTTTCTCTCTCTCTCTCCCCCCCCCCTCCTTTCTCTCTCCCCTCTCTCTCTTGTTAACTGTTATAATTCAAATTCCCACATCAGATTGTTGGTTTAACTCAATTGTTACACTGAATTTGACTCGATTGCATTTTGCGCGATCAAGTTTGCGTAATCTTGAAACTCAGTCTTCTACCTGATTTTGTTTTGGTGTACAAAAATCCTGTTAAATTTCAGTAGAGCCTATCTTTGAATTTTATCTCCTATATTTTGCCAATAAAAATTTTCAAAGTTATTTGAGATATTATAACAGAATGTGTAGAGGATTGATAAACCGGTAGTTGGAGGATGAATCAGATATTTATTCTAAAAAGAAATAATAGCTATCTGTGCGTACAAAACAATAGTAGATAATATGAACTAAGAGTAAAATTATCGCTAGACGTTAACGAAGAAAAGTCGCTCAAATAGTCGAAGTAGGTAATCGTCAGACGGAGTGCAGTGAATAAATTTACCCGTGGATCTCTGCCTTACCATCGACGGTACGTATCTACTTAACGTATCAGCCGGGAACTGGCAATAGCGACTCGATATAGTCCCTTCTGTCGATGTCCATGAAATTTGCTCGATCTCTCCGTGAACACAATACAAAAAATAATGATACGATAATAAAGTAACATTACGTACAAGCAGTGATGTAAGGTAAAAAAAGATAACATTTTTTTACAAATTCCACACGACATAAAAACTGTATCCTAACATTGACCAGTTTAACAATTGTCGTACAGACTATGTGAATGTTTTGATCATCTTTTATTTTTTACATGAATTTATAGATGTTTTTTATTGCTGAACTGGTGTACATTTTCGAAAGGCAGATATACAGAAGACTAGGTGGAAGAAAAATGAAAGAGAACTAGTGCAGCTAGTTCAACAATTTTTCTAAATTTTTTGGAACGAAATTTCACTCGAAAAGAGACAGCCGAGTCTCTCGAATTCGAGTGATTTTTCCACTCCTATAGAGTGAATTCTCCATTCTGAATCTTTGGGTGGATATTTTCACTCGAAATTGAAGAGTGAATCTGATGCATTGCAACGTCAAGGAAATACATTCACTCCAATCAGTTTAAACATTCACACGTAGAGTCAAACTCCACTCTAATCTTGAGTGAAACATTCACTTGTGGTTTCAAGTGGCAGTATTTTCTCTATCACCTTGAATGAAAATACTGCTACTTCTTACTCCAAGAAATTTAGAATGATAGAAGACAATAGAAAACAGATATGTTGGACTAATATCAGTGTTAAATCCGAGTGAGGACTCATCGAAGTCTCAACGAAGTCAATGTCTTCCGTAAATCGCGGCCCAACATTCGTGGCAGATGTGCCTACACTCGCGCCATATTGCGCAGAGATTTGGCTTAATGCATTACATTGGGCGTCCGGAGGTCTCTAATTGAAGATCGGCAGATAGTATAAAATCGATCACGCGCGCAACCAGGTGACGCGCGCGCGATGCACGCGGTGGATTTTTTTTTCCCGGGACGTCGAAGGAAGTCGTCCCGGCCATTTAAGGTATCGCCGTGACGCCGTAAGGCCGTATCTCTCGCGAAGGTATCCTACATCATCGCGCCAGACGTTTTATTACATCGACGGCATTGCTTTTACATTGAGAAAACCTGAAATCTCGCGCTGACCCAAATGTAAGCGTCGTCGTCGTCGCCAAGGTGGATCGTTGCGGATCGAGCGGCACCGCGGCGATTCGGTTTTCAATGAAACGCGGGATTCTCTGAGCCTCGTGCGATCCTTCGCGACGAAGACGCGCATTCCTCTGCGTTGCACAGCAATCTGCATATACGACGTGATTATGCGAGGCGAGTCGGTCGATCGGCTTGCTTGTGTCTTCGATAATTATCAGAGTCGGGTAATAATTAATTAAATACTTAAAAGTTAAATTGCTTCAAATTTTGACATTTTATTTGCACACACACGCGCGCAAGAATGTAGCCGATAAATATTCTGTGGAAGATGACGACACCTTAAATCATCCTTTAGTATAAATTATTCTTTGGTATAAAGAAAATCCTTTAGTTGTATAAAAATATTTACAATTTAATGACTGCTTCTCACTTTTGTGATAAAAACAGCGCTTCGTGTTTGAAATGGATCTATCGCTACTACTCATCCCGAACCAGGTGAAGATACTAATTTTTAATGTGATTTTTAATGTGAAACATATTTAAAAATAAATTTTTTTTTAATCTTTTTCCTACATATTGACATTTAATGAAATATCTTTTATTCTAAAAATATTTATTTCACTAGCAATTTTGGAAGTATACTTTTTTCATATATTTTCAACAAAATTTCAAGGGGATTTTATTTACAAAAAAAAACGGGATCCATAATATTGAAATCCAACCATTCGTTCTCAATAATCTTGTTAAACATGAAAAAAATTTCTATATACTATATGCTTTTCTATATACTGTATCTTTAACAGACAAACTTTTTTGCTATGAGACGGTTTTTCTGTTCTTTGCTCTAATAAATAATTAATATATAAATTAAAACATTCACCTATTTTTATTATTTTATTGATAATAAGCGACTTATATATTTTTTCCTTTAAATTTCGTATTTCTCAACATAAAGGTCAAATTTATTTTAAAACCTGACGACCTGCAGTGATGGTGTAATTTGGATAACGGCATTGTTTTTTTTTTTTTTTTTTTTTTTTTAAAA